TTCTCTCTACATTTCAATAATAAAGTTTAAAGTGCACACTGATATTGCTTCTAAAATAAGATAAATATTAACCTACTCATTGATAAAGAAAAGCATTAATTAAATTAGCAATTCTTTTTAAAGCATTTTATCAGATAAATAAAGAACTCAAAATTTAAAGTACAAAAACAACACGAGGTCTTCACGTAGTTTAAATTTTTTTTTTTCCTTAGGCCAGAAGTTAGAGGTCATTTAACTTTATCAAGGTCTAGAATTTCATTCTTGAATATAGTTGAAACTAACTCTAATAACTTAGAATGTCCATCAAATTTTTACAAGAGACATGACTTGAAATTACCTGTCATAATAATGAGTATTTATTAAAATGAATTTGGATAGCTTCTTTAATTTTAGATTTATTCTTTGTCTCCAACTTCCAATGTTTTCACATCACTCCCTATCAGATTTGTCTCTCTTCTATTTTTGAAAGCACATGACTTTGCCGTGTTCTAATGAGAGAGTATTATTAGTCTTCCCAGCAGTTTTCTTTCTCTGGAAAACTGGGATATTTTTAAAGAAAATCACCATATTTTAACATCTTAATAGGAATTCTGAAATAGATATTAGGAGTTATAAGACATATTTTCCTAGCATGCTGGATATTTTCTGTGTGTCCTTTCGGATATCCTCTTTACCCTTTATTGTCTTTCAGGTGACCTGGGCCACTGCCCTGAGTGCTAACGTCATTGAGCTTTCTGCTCTCTGACTCTCATCAAATTCCGTCAGTTGGAAGAATCAGTAGGAGATGAGAAAATGAAAGAGAGTAAACCCCAGAGAATTCAAGACTTTTTTTCACTTGTGGTCATAGGTTTATGTGTCCCTCTACTGAAGGTGACATCTCTTTTCAGATGACTTTTCTCATTCGAGTACCCTCTGCAGCTTTAGTGACCACTCCTTTCACCTCCCTCTGCTCTCTCTTGTTGCCAGCATCATGTACTTTACTATCCTTTGTTGCTATCTTTATCTACAACTTTGGAATAATCCATGTATTTAACTTTGATCAATTATCCTGTTTCATGGTCAGTCTTTTATTGATGAAGCCTCATTATGGCAACCACTTAAGAAAACCTGTGATGGATTTAAAAATAAAGTAAAATTAGTTATACGAATATACACAGGTCTTACTTTTACATGCTAACCTAAAAAAGTTGGAAAATATATACATAAACTTGATATTTTAGGTTGAGAAATTATTACAGCTTTTAAATCGAAATCAGGAAAAATAGATACTGGGTTTCTCATGTGTTCATTTTTTGATGGCAAAGTGCCCTGTTTTCATTTGTTGAATATTCAATTTTGTCTTCCAAATATAATTTCCATCTTTTTGTATCTTTCTCTGTGCCTTGAGAGGCTGATACATCATAGTGTCCCATTTGGGATCCTTGCCCTCTGGCTTCTAGTTGAAGTTGGTCAATGGATGGCAATAGCAAGACATGAGAAGGAATGAGAAACAATAGCTTGGGGTATTTATTCTTGTTGCTTCTTCCTTGCTGTTCTTCAGTCTTAAAGACAATAACAGTTCCCAATATTTCTAGATACCAGAAGCTTCACCGTTTTTTTGTGATTTTCTTAGCTCAACCCATACCTTTTTAACCATGTCCTCAATAAACATTATTCAATTGCCAATTTGTGTGTCATCGGTTTCCTGCCAGAATTTTGACCAATTTGGCATTCAACATCTGACTTGTTACAAATTTATATATATAAATAGTGTCTGTATACTATAATAAAGCAATTGTTTTAATTTTTTTATAGTAGCAGAATAGAAAATTTTAAACTTACGAAATGGACACATTTCTATAATCCAGTCATTAAAACAATCTAGAATTTTAACTCTCAAATTTCCTTGAATCTAAAATACAGCTATTTTTAAAAACAACAAACATGAAAAACAGACGAACAAAAATAGTGGGAGCTGAGAGCCTTATATCAAGGGAGTTGAGGCCCAGGGTGTCTGTGTGTCCAGTAAGTTTATAAAGTCCCAAATTATATTTATTGTTAAGATTAAATTGATAATAGTGTCCCCATGCACTAAAAAATAATCTCATTTGGACAATCTGTTATAGGGTCACTCTAGTCATATCACAAAATTGTTTTAATTTGTTAGACAATATGAAAAATATTTTGTATAAATATTTTTATACAAAAATATTAGAGCATTTTCAGGCTAAGGTAGTTGCTAAAGTCAAAAGTTGGATTTGTTCAGGTAAGAAAGCTGCCAGAAAGTTGTTTTAGATCACATAAATTCTCCTTCAACATGTATGAGTCCATAGCTCAGGGTAAAATGTCTGCAAAGATGAATGTTAATATCATTATTCTGTTAATTTCTATTTATTGAAAATAATTCTGCACCTTCTGAGGCATGCAATAAATTGTGATGTCAAAGTCTGTGAGCCACTAACTGTTCATTTCATAAGGAGGTAGATTTTAATGGAAAATTTAAATGTCCGCAGTAAAATTTCTGAGGATACAGTAGAATTGGCAAATGTTTTTAGTGAATATAAAATAATATTGTGTTTGGTATGTGTCTCATATTAAAACATGCAGTGAATTAAAAGCTCAAATGCACTTAAAGAATTGGTCATAAATTTCAACACCACTGTATATGAACTTTGAACTTACTATCTTTTATAGTAAATAATATATATACATACATGTATATATGCATATATATGTATATACATATATAAACAAAAACCCTAACATCCCTCCCATAGAAATGTTTGTCAGTACTTTCTGCCCTTATGAAGATTGTTTGTTAGTGATCATGCCCATAGAGACCATTCGGATTTGCTAAAATTGGACTTAGTGGCCGTTGGTAATAGAATCTGATTTGGAGGAGAGCCAGTGTTCTTGATTTAACTCAGGAATAATTGTGACAAGTACCCTTTACCACATTATATTTAGGAAACACCTTAAAATATTTGAAGGGTGTCAAAATACATCAATCTCTTCAAATGCAAAACTTCTGTCAAGGACTAAGAATGTAATGGTTAAGGAGATGAAGTTCTTGAAGTTATATAAAAAATTGCCTTCACTTGTTCAATTTTTAAAAATCAGTAGGAGTATATCTTTAGATGGAACTTATTAATACATCTTAAAATTAAATACTACCATTGTCCTATTTGAGAAAAGATATTCCATTTCATTTCTGGTAAGTTTTTTTTTTCTCTCATTTTAGATGAATAAAACTAGTCATGACTTTTACAATACATTAAAAAGTTTTAGTTTTTAGGAAGAATCATATAGATGACCTATGCTATGTTAATTCAAAAATAGATTAAAATACCTAATTTAATGGATATGGATAAGTGTGTTGCTTATCAATTTACTGTTTCTAAGCTCCAAATTACTCTTTGCCTGCTCTGTTAAAACAGATTGGGTCTTTTCAATATGTTTTCTTTGCTAGCCAACAATGGAGCTGATTATGGAAGCCTAGAAAAACATTTTTTTTTTTTTTTTTTGCACCTACAGCACCTGGTATTTCTAGGTGGTTTCCCATCCAAGTACTAATCAGGCCTGACCCTGCTTAGCTTCTGAGATCAGATGAGATTAGGCTTGTTCAGGGTAGCATGGCCATAGACCAGAAGGGCAAAATTTTGCTTCCTGGTTCTGGTGTGCTCACTTGGCAAGTCTCTGTAGCATGCACGGCTTCCTCTTGGCTCCTCAGTAGCTACAGCTTCTCCAGTACCTGGTTCCGGCAGTGCATTGTGGCCGGCCACACCTAGTGACCAGCTGTTACCAATGGCACCCTGGTTTGGGCAGTTTTGTAGCAGAGCACTGCCAGCCAGCTTCTCCAGTACTTGAAGCTTCTCTAGTGCTTAGCTTTTGCATTGGCTGGCATCCAACAGAACCTAGAAGCCAGCCACTCCCCTGGAACCTCAATTTGTTTACTTTTATGGCAGAATGCCTCCAGAGAAACCACTCGTGGGCAGTTTTCCTTGGCGCCCTTGAGGGCAGAATTCTGGCAAGTTCTAGAGGGTAAAAATTCACCACTTTTTATTGGCATGGCACCATAGGAACTTCTTTGTCATCTCAGAGTTACAAATGTGCCTTCTCCAAAAGGTCTGAATCTCATCCCCAGAAATGAGGCTTTTCCTTGTAGTGGTAGCCATTCTTTATATCTGCTGTTCCTATATTCTTCAGAGTTCACTTTATTTCTCACTACCATATTCTCTCATTATTTTAATCCCCTATTATATTAAAAATTATTTATATTAAACTTCTGTTCAAATTATTGGGGTGTTTCTATCTCTTAATTGAGTTCGGATGAATGCAATAAGTATCATGTTTTTGTTTTTTTGTTGTTGCTGCTGAACTAGGAAATGACTGGCTAATTGCCCCAGAAATATTTTGATTGTATAAAGTAAGTGAAACTGCTGAGCTGGAAGAACAACCAACTTAGGCAGTGGGATGAATATTCTCTAGAACCACTTTCTATTCTTCTCTCTCTCCTTCACTCTATCCCAGTGGAATAAATTCTGCTGACTACACTATTGTGGGATCCCTTCCACTCTGGCTTCTGGCTTAGTTTAGTTATGGGATTCAGTGGCAGAACAGAGGGCAGGTAGAGAAAAAGGCTGAGATGCTTACTATCCTTATTGTCTCACAGATCTCTAAGGGTTTAGTCATGCCTGTGTTCCTTTTCCTCAGGCCACAGCTTTGGCTGGACAGCACCTCCTCCAAATCTATAGCCCATGTAGCATTCAGGAAATACCAAATGCTGATATGTCAGCAAGTAAGAAAGGCACTTACTCTACTAGTAGGTGGATTGCCTGGTTAATGAGATTCTATTGATGTCATTACATATTGGAGAAAGGAAAAATAAGTCTGGAACTCAGAGAATTCACCAGCCTACCTCTAGCTGCTTCCAAATATGGTAACAAAAATTAACTGGCTGAAATGCTAGCCAAAGGTAAGAGTTACAGCTGATTGGGAAAGGAGAAAAAGATTAACTACAGCCTTGGGTGTAGTTGCTTCACAGGGAATCTAGCTTATGGAGTTACTCTCGAAAGTCACATTATTTTTAGAGACTGGCCAGTCATCACTTCAGAGTTTCGATAACACAGAGAATTCAATGTAAGTCATGAGCAGATTTGAATGCTGCAGTGGGTAGACTATAAAAATCAATGTAGTTGTACTGCTTTGTATTGTTTCAGCCACCTCTGAGTCTAGTTGAAGCTGCAGTAAACATTTTCCAACACTGATCATTTCCCACATCGTGTGTCTCTCCGCTTCTCTGACTGAGGGCTTCTTGTGGCACCATGGGAGCTCGCTAAAGTCACCAGCTGGATAGTGCTGGAATATCTGAGACTGAAATATCTGAGACTGAAAGCTTTCATAATCAACACTCAGTTTGCAAGGGACAAAAGCCATAGGTTAAATATTCCTATCTCTTCACCTTTCTTTAGAACAATTCTGAGGTGCATTCTACATGCTTTCTCTGGTATTTCCAAGAAGATTGATCTTTAATTGCCCATCTCAAAACCTACTCATAAAATCACCTTTCGTTGGCTATTTTCTCTTTCCTCTGTCTCTTTTTTCTGCTCCCTCCCTTGTACTACCTTGATCACTTCCCCAAATCTATCTACTTATAACATAGTTTTAATTTCGGGACTGCTTCTAGGGAAAATCAAACTAACATAGCGCTAGTTTTATAGAAAATATACTGATAGATATGCTGGTTTGAATTCTGTATCTTTATATTACCTCACAAACATAGTATAAGTCCTTCTTTTTGTGTTTTTCTCTGCAATTCATATATCTCATGTCAGATCTCTCCAAAATAGTTAATCAGTGAAAAGTGAAAGAATGTTCAAAGTCCTATTCAGCCACAACTAGAATTTATCTCCCACTAATGGTTATAGTAATCCTGTTGTAACATTTCTTCCTTTCATATAAAAGTAGTAATCTCTTTTGTTTTGGGAACATAATGTTAAAATTGCTCCTTTTAACTTTTAGCACATTACTAAAGAGATCTAGCAAATCACATCCTAAAACCAGTAACTAATCTCTCATAAGCAGAATGGATTTAAAAAGAAAAGTCCATTGCTTTAAATACGGGTCCTTCCAAGGACACATGAACAGATAAAATCAGGCTATGAATGCTGTTTTTCAGTGTAAATATTACTGTTTTCTAATATTCTATTATCTTATAATCAGAAAAATGTAACAGCATAATTGAGGATTTACAAACATCTAATTTTGATAGAAAATTATTATATTGATAATATAAGTAAAAAATCTGCCTTGAACTTTTATATATTCAGTTCTTACATAGTTACTATAACTATGTAAGACAGGTAAGAATAATTTTTTTTAAGAAAATGTGGGGTAATCTGGGATTTATATGTAGCTGTGTAAACAAAATATTTGAAACTTTGCATTCAGTAAGAGACAAATTGGTAGTTATTTTTATATTATGTCTAGAAAAAGACACAAAGTTCTAGAAAACAATGCTCCAACAAATTAATCTTGACTATTTTCCTTACTGGGACTTTGGGAATTATTTCTTGACAGATTTTCATATTTTCTTAATGAATGTAAATTAATAAATAAAATATCCAAAGTGCAATATGAAAATGTCAGAAAGTATTCAAACAACTGTTTAAAAATGCGTCTGCAATGTCAAAATACCATTAAAAATATAAACTGCAAAGAATATGGGATATATTTTTAACAATTACAGGGTACACATAATTAAAGAACTACTGAATCTACAAACTAAAAATCTGAATATCCAGCAAATGTTTTCCTATTCTACAGCTAAAACACTCTGTGTGATTGCTTGCACATTGCCCCCATTTTATATCTTGCATCACTTTTAACATCAATGTCCAGTAACACTTCCTGAAATGATGTTTTATTGCTTCTTGGCCTTTTGGCTAAGATCAAGTGAAATGATGTTTTAATTTCTAGTCTTCTTCTGCTCTGTCCAATATGGTAGTTACTAGTCACTCACGAGCCTTTGAAATGCGGCTAGTGTGACTAAAGCAGTGACTACTTAAAAAGTTTATTAATTGAAATTGAGATTTAAGTGACCACATCTAGCTAATGACTACTATATTGGGAAGCAAAATTTAAAAGTGGAAGCTGATCTCTTTTTAAAAATGAAAATACTCTGAGCCATGAAAATGCAAAGGTTATTTAACTGTTCAGCAAGTTTGAATGCTGAAGAATCACTTAATGGATGTTAAATATGGACCATATGTCTGCAGATTTTACTTTTATGTTTTGTGGTTGGAAGATCAAGTGGGGTTTGAATTCACAGTAAAACTTAATGTACCTTTGTGAATGAATGCAACTGTTTCTTAATTGAACGTGTTGAGATATTGAACTATTTTATTGAACTAATAAAATGGCTAATATTAAGTTAGGCAATATGTCATGGTGCTTCAAGGAAGTGAATGAATAATTTGATTTAATATTGAGTACTTTAGAACAAGAACACATGTATTATAAGGTAAAATGGTCATTATTGCTGATTAAAATGAGCTGGTAAGTTTTACATCTATGTATAAATGTTAAATTCTTCTAAATATGTTTAGTATAAAGATGTTCATCTTTATATATTTATCATATATAAATATAAAATCTTTTTTATATATTTAATACAATTAATCTTTTCAGTAAGGTATTACAGTAGAATTCTTTTTCTATTATAAATCCAAATTAGATATATAGATACGTAGATGCACCTTATCATATTCATCACAAAAAATGAAAGAATTGATGATCCTAGTGGTGTAAGATAATTGTTATTCTCCAGACACAGTAATAGAAGAGCAACATATTAAGGATTTTATATTCTAGTTCTTATTTGGTAATATTAAGTAAATCATTTAAACACTCCTGAAAAGTGCTTGCAAAATGTGAATTAATTAGAAAACAACTAAATTAATTTTAATCCAAGGTTTCAAATGGCATAAAAAAATAAATAAAAAATAATAGTATTGATAAAAATTCTATGTGGTATTTTTCTGTATATGTATGCACAAAGGCAGATTTAATTTTGAGGAAAACATGAGCTATGTAAATAGACTAAGAATATTACAGCAGTGCATTTATTACTTTCTTATATCACAAGAATGCATCTATTTGGTTCCCTTGCTGTAGTACAATATTATCTCATCAGAATAAATTAAGTTTCTTTAGAAGTGCTAATAAATGAAAAATCATTGGCCACCGTGGGAGCCTCCTAGAACATTTTAGCAGTAATCTATTTTCCAGTTGTCGTAGTCTGACTATATTTTTTGATGTTTGAGTGCTGATATATTTTAAGCTCACCTCTCTCTTTTCCTTCTGCTCCACATCTAGGAAAGCTGAGATAGCTTGGATACTCCTTCTTTTGGTGCTTGTGAGAATTCAATTAACTCAAGCCCCTGCCCACATGGGAATCCTCACTCTAGGCCTGTACTCTAACAACAATATGAACCCAAGCCAGTAGTCTTTCTCTGTTCTCTCAATCTTTGGACCTACTTGTGTGTCACCCTGCTCTTTCCAGAAAGCTGCATGATGTAAGTAATAAACCTTTTCATACCCCACTTGTGTGTGTGTGTGTGTGTGTGTGTGTGTGTGTGTGTGTGTGTGGTGTCATTGGTATTGACATGTGAACCCATTTTGAATGGGGGTCCATCCTATCTATTCATAGTGGCTACAACAATTGACACAGTAAGTGGGGTGTCTAATGGATGATCATCGCCATTTGGGGGTTCTTCTTCTCTTGTTTAGCTTGCTAACTGACTCTGCTGCCTCTCAAATCAGGTACTTTGAGTAGATTCTTGCTAGTTTGCTTGCACTTTGAGCTCTATTGCTTTGTGCTATATTTGCTGAGTTCTACCCAACTTCTACTATAGGTATTTTTCCCACCTAAGTCAGAAGTTTTGATAACTGACATTTAGAAATAGGAGTACTGGATTGAATCCCTCCATAGAGTGGCCTTGAATATCACATGTCTTAGCCCAGACCTGTCTGTATATCTTAGATGAAATTGTACATCTCAATTCTAGTATACGCCATGACTGAAACTTGACTCAGAGGAAAGACTCTTAATCTGTGATGGTTGCTTGTATGTCTTGAGCTGGTGTGGGCTGTCATTCTACAAAACACTCACACAAAAAAACTTCTATTAAGTATGATGTATGAGTCCATCAGATGATTGCTTCTGAGGAAGAAAAACAGTCACTAAATGGATTACCAAGGTCCACATTCCTAAAAGCAGATGACCCACTAAGATCCTACAAAATAACTTTGTATTACTGTTGCTACCTATGCCTTTTCACCACAAATAAAATTTATTGAGGATTTATAACACTCCTATTGTAGAACCAATGGGTTAATTCAATCATTCCCATGGAAGAGGTGTTTAATGTTGATGATACTAATTTGAGGCTATACGGAGGAAGACACTTATAAATATGAACAGAGTAATATAGAGAGAAAGAAAGAAAGAAAGAAAGAAAGAAAGAAAGAAAGAAAGAAAGAAAGAAAGAAAGAAAGAAAGAAAGAAAGAAAGAAAGAAAGAAAGAAAGAAAGAAAGAAAGAAAGAAAGAAAGAAGGAAAGAAAGAAGAGAGAAGAAGAAAGAAAAAAGAGAGGGAGGGAGGGAGGGAGAAATAAATTAATTTGACCTAATTGGAAATCCAAGATTTACTAAAATAATTTGTACAAGAAATATAAAAGCACAGATTAGTTTTTGCACCGCTAACTCACAGATGCTGATGTAACTTTAGTATCTGCTGAGACACACAATTGCCAAGTCTTCATGCCTTTACTCAACAGGGCCTCAAATATTATTTATACTTGGAAAGCAGACTAAATTTAAACAAGTTGCCACTATAATCTTAGGTAAATTACTGAACATAAAATAGAAAACAAATAGACCTGCTTCACCTTAACTATTATAACTATTACCATGACTAAATTCCCTATAGTCATAGCACCTATGCCCTAAAATATCTCATAGCACATATAAGCACTCTATCCAATGAGTAAAAAATTAAAGTTAAAATAAGTCTTGGGCAATTGCAAATTGACTTGACAAAATAAGACCCCCATGGATCCTCCCCCACAGCAAAAATTGTTATACAACTCAATGTAAATTCTATCAGGATTGAAACTCATTATATAAGACCTTCTCCTTCAGAGAAGGAGTTGTTATTCCTACTACTTTTTCATTTATAATCCAATCTGGCCTGTTTATGCTTAGAAAGAATCAATGACACCTCATAATGATTACCACGACCATAATCCCACTTAAAGCCATGATCCCATCCATTGAGATTTCCATAAATAATATTACTGAAACTACTGACTTATCCATCAGTAACAGGTAAATATTTTGCTGTTACAGTTGAGGCTAATATAGTCTCTTCAATACCAATTTCAACATCTTTTCAGATAAATAGATAGCATGTATTTTTATCATGGCTATCATGAGGTACCCCAGTAGCTTTGACAGCTCACGCAATCTTTGCAGGCAAGATCTTCACCACGTCCAATTCTATTTAACAGTGTAGGTATAACCTTGCAGTGATTACATCCTCTTCTGAGGAAATTCATTTGACATACTCATTCAGGACACAAAAATACTCATGAAGTGGCTCACAAAAAAAGAGATGGGCATTTCCTTACACACAGCAAAGATTCATCACCTCATTTAAATTTCTGAAAACTATGTGATAAACTAAGGGTTACTCTATATCAAGAAACAGTTATTAAACCTCACAACATCCACACTATTAAAACAAGAGAAGCATCTTTTAGTATTTGGTGGGGGGAGGTCCTAGAGGCAAAATATTTCTCATTTACAAATTTCACTTAAGACCTTTTATTCTATTACTTGTAAATTAGACTATCTTGGATTAGACTCCCTTCAACAAAATGTGCTAGTATCTGTACAAATTTCAATTTAACAGACACTTCCATTAGTGAAACAGAGACTCCTTCTCTGTAGAGGTTATAGAGACTTGGTCTCATGGTTCTTAGAATCTTTAGTCTTTAAGTTTTTTGCCAGAAGTTGCCCATGAGTTTCTAATACAAGAAACTGCCCCCTCTTGGCCTTACAATATATGTCACGAAAGTGACAATTCCTGACCTTTCATACCACTATGCATTGGATCATGGAAGTAGCAACCCGCAAACTTGGCACAGCAATCAAAGCCCCTTTGGTTCAGGATGAAGGTAAACATGCACCTTCTTGCTTATTCCACCTCCAAGAGTAAGTATCTCCTCTATTTTTGACAGATGTCATATTGCTGGAGTATGTCACTCCTTTCCCAGACTTCTTGGTTATCTTAAGAGCCCCGTAGGATCATCTGATTAAACAGAGAATGGAATTTATGTAATTTACAGATGGCATCACCATCATTGCAAATAATAGAGCTTAGTGGGAAGTTGCTGTTTTCCACCTACTAACCAGGAAATTCTAATAAAAAATGAGACCCAAGGGTCATCACAATTAATTAAACTTCAGGCAGTCATCTTAGCACTGCATACTCTGGCCAACCATCAGCCCCATCTGCATATTTTTACAGACTTTTGGGCCATTGCCAATTATGGTGGAATGAAGGACATATAAAGATGAAATGATGAGTAGATATGTAATGAATTAGAATGTTAACAATATAATATAAGTAGCAAATATAATGTTTACTGTAAAATACTTTTAATATTGCTATATGTTTGAAAATTTTACAATAAAATGTGTAGAAAAAAGTTTAAAAACCATAAAAAAGGAGAAGGAAAAAATGTAGACTAAAGAAATAAAACGACCTCTTGTGATGCTTTCATTTTAACAGAAGCCTGGTTTATAAGAAAAAAACTATAAAGGAAATTTTTGAGAATTTTGGGAATATTTAAATGTGGAATGAGATTTAAATGATACCATTTATAGACATTTTACATGTAATAATGGTATCACTTTTGGTAGGAAACACACTTATACTAAGGAGTTACATAACTAGAGTGAAGTTTTATGATATGTACAATATACAAAAAAAAAATCAAATGGTTCAGCAATGCAATTACGGAAGTAAACAAAAGATACAGACAGATAAATATAAATGGATAGAATCTATAAATAACCCCCAAATATAACCCCCCAAATGACAACTGTTTAAACCTATGTGGTAAATTAAGAATTATGATCATTCCATCTCTTCTAAACTTTTCTGACTCTTTTTTCTTAAAAGAAGAAACTACAAGAAGAAGTGATCTGGTTCAATGATTGATTAGAAATGAAAACTCAGATGCTAGAAACTAGTACTTGAATAATTTTACATTGACCTTAATGTGGGATATTTTAGATTAAAATGCTTTGTATCTATCATTTTTTTGCAATTGTGTTTTTCTTCTCACTTTCAGATTGTGGGAATCAATTCTGATAGAGACTTTAATATGTAATGGGTATATTTTGTCTTCTTTTATTCATGTCTTCTGACTCTTACATTTGTCTTACATTCACCCTCCTGTATTGTCCTCTACATAGAAAATGATCATTTTCTCTTCTTAATTTCATTCAAAGAAATTCACTTGCTGCTTTGACCACAAGATGTCCCCTGCCACCAGCTACTTCAGTGAATTGCAATGTAAACTGTTAGTAACGCTGTGTTCATTAACATGATATTTAAAGGATCCTATATGTTGATTAAAAGCAGAGCCTAAAGAGACTTTCTTCTGAAATGAAATTAATTGTTTAGAAAATACCTACCACTATACAAACAAGCAAACAAAATAGAATTAATTTAATTTAATTTGCTTGTAGATAAATCTCCATGAATTTGATATGAGAAGTCTTACTAGTAGTCAATGTTATGCTCATCTGTGAGTTGGTGAAAAGAACAAGGAAAGTAGCTATGTGTGTATGGCGTGATATTTGTCGTGTCAGCATTCTATAATGTAAAAACTCCAAACCATTATTTCTTCTTTGCCTTTATGGTATTCGTTAGGGACTGAATGTTTATGTTCCCCCAAAATTTATATGTTGAAACCCTAACCACAAACGATGGTATTTGGAGGTGGGAAGTTTGGGAAATAATTTGATTTAAGTGAAGTTATGAATGTGGAGGCCACGCAATGGGATTAGTGTCCTTAAAGAAGCAGTAGAGACACCAGAGCTTCTCTCTGTCATGTGAGGATACAATGAAAAGACTGTTTAAGCTGCCTAGTCTACATTATTTGGTTATAGCTGAGCAGGTTAAGCAATATTCTATCTCCTAGGAGAACACAAATAGTTCTAAAAGGCATTCTCATCGCTAATAATTCACTATAGATTAACAAACTATTTTCATTTTAAAAAATAAGACTCTTAAGAAACAAATTAAGAAAATATTTTTTTAAGTCTGATTTTGAAATATTGCCTCTCAAAACTCACCCTTCTCTATGCACTTTTTGCTGCTAGTACAGGGACTCTGCCAATGCATGTCTTCATTGTCAGCTGACCATCACTTCAGTTCTTCCAAAAGCAATACCCAGGGGTATATTGGCATTCCGGAAGAGGAATAAACCACAGGTTTCTTTATGTTTCCCTGCTTGATCGTGTCAACACCACTTCTGCAAAGACTCTATCAGTGGATTCCAGCTAAAACTGATTCCACATTACTATAACCAGCGCCATGAAATCTTCTCAGAGGAATCAACATCAACTGATGGCTGCCCCAGTCCCAAAGTTTGAATCCCAGCTGCTAAAAGATCAAGTCCTGCAGTGTTGTAGAAGCCCTCCATCAGACAAGCAGAGTAACACAGGAGCTTGAGGTGGTATGCTGGGAGTGTGTATGAAAAATGTCTTCTGCAGCTTCAGCTGGACCACAAAAATATAGGACAGGTCATCCACATTGACTTTTTCAGTCCACCCATTGCCTCATTTAAGTCTGCCTAAGCCCTACGCTGTCTCATTTGTTATGGATGCTTTATGGTAATGGTTAAACATAATATAAAAAAATGATGTAACACCAGAAGTAAAGTAGAACGAGCTATATTCCCTGATGTAGCTATTACTCTCAAGGCTGTAGCTAATATGAACCTTCTTTCTCTAGTAACCTTCATGCTGGGTTAGCACTTCGGCTGGTTAGTTTCCTCGTTCAGGAGAGAGTGCAGACATGGATCTCCGAAGGTTCTAACCACCTGCTTACTTAACCTTTGTCAGGCCATGGTCACTGCAACTGCCAGCTGACTGTTGTCACCAAGTTCAGATTTATTCTTCCCTGTCTCATAATGTAGCAATATCTCTAGCACCTCATTTTATTCCAGGCAGTTCACTCGTTAGTTAGAGTCATGCCTTTCCTTTCCTACTGATCCATCTGCATTCAGAGCCCAAAACGAACTGATAATACTCATAGTATTTGTTCATGGAAGTATTTGGTTCCTCTACCTCATAGAGAAACCAGGATCATTAATCCCTCACAGACTAAAAAGGATGGGAAATACAAAGTTTTCAATTGGTCACTGAAAGTGATGGTAATAGAAGGCAATCCTATGATCACGCCTTGATTTCTGGATATAAGCCTTCTACCTATTGACCTCTCAGCAAGATATAATCACCATTGGTTCAACATCTATACCATATCATGTCTAACATACTACTCTAATAGCACATGTTTTATACCCTATCTAGTGATTTAGCTGAACTTTTAAGAGAACCTCCCAGAGCTCTACTGGACACGCACAGTGCTACTTTGGCAGTGCGTTATCATCCGGTTCTGAGTCTCTGTTCCTCAGGGGCTTTCATCTAACTTTCAAAATTTAATAGTCCTAACTTTATCCATTTGTTCCTGGTAGCAGTTTCCTGCAAATACTGTTTCTCTGATATTTTAGCGCCCACCACTTTTTATTCCCCCTTTCAATCCTCCATTACATGTTTAAATAATCCTTTTCTGGATTTTGTCAAAATAACTGGTGCACTTTCTGTCTTTCTGACTGGTGCTGGAGGGAGGGGAAGAGGCTGAAGAAAAAGAAAATTTGTCAGAATAATTGGAAGTATATCAGGGCAGTAGGTTAAATTGAAATCCAATTAGCCAAGAATTTTCCTGAAGTCCATGAAAATATGGTACCTTGCTGGATGTTGTCATTAGAAGATAGGTATTAGCAGAAGGAACAGAGAAAAAAAACAATATAGAAATTCAACTCTTGAAAAGGTCATTTTTCGGTGGACCAAAGGAACAATGGAGAAATAGCTTGGGAACTCAAAAGGACTCTGCTAGATGATGTGGTCCAGAATAGACTTTATGGGAAGTACAAATAAACCGTCTTTAATGGGAGTTATACCAACCAGATGCATTTGTAACTGGGTGACAGAATTATTGGTGGCCCCAATGATCAGGAGTCGCTACTGTAAGTTAATGACAAAAGACCAGGAATACTACATGTCCTGTAATACAGGGGATTGTCCAGGACAAGAAAAATCTGTCTCTCTCCAAAGGCCATTAGCAATCCTAATGAGAAACACTATCTCAGATACTATTTTTAGTATTTTTCCTATTGACATATTTTTTAAATCACTTTCTTGCATTTTATCTTATACGCCATATGGCTCAGGTAATACTTTAGTAAATGAAACATTTAACTAATGAGTCTAAAAATATCAGCTGAATAAATCATAAGCATCAAACTCATGAATTGTGTAATATATAACTTTCAAATTGTACAAGTACTTTCTATTAATCTTATTCAATTTGGAAAGGCACAGATATTCTCAAGATTTCAAAATTATTTATGTCAAAACAGTACTAAATATATGCAGATTTTCTCAGTGGAATCAAGCAGTTTTGTAAATGTTTTGCTTTTGAAATAGTGTAAGATTTTGAGTTCATTTCTTCACAAATTTCCCACTTATCATTCTTTCCTTCATAAATATTTAGATGAAGTAGTCAGAATATAAACCTCTTAGTACAAAGAAGAACTGAAAGACAAAAATGTAGATTATCTATGGCAGGAAAGAAAATGGTGCTGAAGCCAAGCTACTACCTGGTAATGCCAGAATTAAAATATCCTATGGTTTGTATCTGATCCAGTTGTGAATGTGAGGACTTTGCATACAGATTTGAAATAAGTAAATAGCACAGGAGCAGAAAATTCAGAGCAAACAATATCTAATTTTAAAATACGTGCCTATATTAAATGCAATCTTGTGTATAGGAGAAAAATCTCTCATCCCAAACTTTGTAGAACTAAACTGTTTGCCTGATGTAATTTATAGCTTCCTCTGAAGAGTAGAAAGCATTTCTATTAAAATGCTCAAGTGTTTTTTTTTTTTTTTATGATTTTAAAGAGATTAAGAATTCATTCTAGGAAATAAGAATTACCTACCTAGCTGACAGATCATCCATCCTTATTATCTTTAAGGAGCTATTTCTCTTTCACATTTGTTGTTTGTGTGTATTGTTTTTGTATATAAATGCCTCTATGAATAGTAAAAACCTTTGAAATGGCTTTTTTAAGTATCTCTTCCCTTTGGCAATTTGCAATAATACTTGAACAAGTATAGTCAAGTTAATGTAAATGAAGATAATTATGAGCAGAAACAGCGCTTTCGTGTTGAAATAGTAATAAATATCAAGCATTGAGGGTTACTGACTTCTAAGCAGCCACACCGAAATTTTCTGGCTATTTTATAATGAGATAGGAATTCCCACCTGGAGTTATGGAGATTGGCTGAACACATGATACCTAATACCAGATGAATCAACAGCAGTTTATTAATCACATATACTCATAACTCGTGAGAGAATGGCATAGCAAGCCACACAAGGCAACAGGGGAGTTGCACTTAGCAACCTAGTGAAGAAGCAGGAGCCATGGGAGGCAGGCTTGTAGTATGGAGGGGGCGGAGGGACTCCTGGTCTCACAGGGGAATGTGATTGGCTTGCTTGAATAAATCTGAGGATGGCAGGGAAAAGAAACTTGCTACTGACAGAGGAGTCTGTGAGAGGTCCAAAATGAAGAAAAGTGAATTTAGAAGCCAAATAGATCCAGAGCATAGCTTGAGTTGCCCCACCTGGACGTCCCTGCTGCCTTTCGCTGGTTCGAAACACTGGAGGTGAACTTAGAACACTTTGAGAAAAGTGCTTCTAAATCAAAGTCCACGATGTACGCGGCTTTTGCTGGGGTTTCTGCTTGCCCAAGCACAGGAGGTTCAAAAATAGAAAGTGACCTCTCATAAACCTAATTTATATCCATATGTGAAGTAATTTTATAAAGTTCTTCTTTGTAGGTGAAATCATTGAGTAATAAACTATTCAAACTCTCTTAACCTGAAATAAATTTCAGATAATTCAATGTGATATTGAAGCATAACTTAAATGTATTTAAATTCCAGTTATAACTGCACCAATAATATAGTAGTTTATAAAATAAAATTTTGGACTTAAGTTATAGAAAAACAGTGCATTTAAAATGTTGCTTTTAAAAATAATTATTAATCTCCACTATGAAAAAAATATTACCTGAACTTTAGGTAGTTTAGATAAAAATTGTATATTTAGAAGAATATATTTCCAATCCATCAAAAAATATTTTCAAAGAAATTTTAAGATAGAAATATAAACTCTTATAATATGCATAATTGCATAACTCTTAAAAAGTATTTTAAGCTTTTTATATGCATTCATACTTTCAGAACTGTTAAGTGGGAGAAATTTCATTATACTGAATAAGTACTTAACCATTTCTATGGAAATATGAACCACAGCAAAACATAAAATCTCAAGAGCCTTGAACATAAGATAATAAGTAGAGAAATCTGGAGAATACATAATATAATTTTCTCTACCCTGTTCAATATTCATTTTTTTAAGTTTAACAGATTTTACCCCCTCAACATTTATCTTTTTTTTTTTTTAATCTTTATCTCATATGCAACTTAGTTTAGGATTCTATCTATTCCATCATGATCCTAGCCTGCCTTCATCCTTTGGGACAGATTTTCCTCAGTCTAAAAACACAAATAGATCATGTTACTTCTCTTCAAATTCTTCAATAAATTTTAATATCCTTCAAATTCAAAGGCATTAATCAAAGGTATGTCCTTGGAGATCTGGCACACATTGAATTTTCCTGTCTCATTCTATTAATGTGTCATTCATCTATCCCTTCATCTATTCATCCAGCCATTCATATTTATAGACCGCTAATGATTGGTCACACATTGTTATAAGGCTAGAGGTGATATAGCATGGCTCTTGCTCTTGTGTAAATGTCGTTTATCAGTGGGTAAAATACAATGAAAACAAAAACAAATTTTAAAAGATAATTTTAGAGAATGATATAAATCTTTAAATGTAATGTAGTGACACAATTTTTTTGGCACTGGGATTTGGTCACCTCACACCAAAACAGGACAGTCAGGACTGGTGCTTCCCTCACTAATGCATTTCCTAAATATTTAGTAACGGGAGGGTTTTCTGACCCTCCCAGGAGGTATGCATAGGAGATACCAAAGCAGCTTGTAAATAACAGACCCAATAAAATGTTTCCATCTCCCTGAGCCTTTAGATTCCTTTTTCTGCAGCATGCCAAAGATGTCACCTTTTGACATTTTCTTGTAATTTTCAATCATCAATTTTATTTTAAAATATGTGTGCACTGCATTGAGTACCAACACAGATGCGACCAAGAAACCCAGCAGGCAAAGCGTTCAGTATATGACTTGGAGTAGGTAGACTACTATTTTTCATAGCGAAGAAAAAAACAAAGGATAGGAAAAAAGAAAGACATTATTCCTAATTACTGTTCTGAAACGTGAATGATAAAAATGAAGGAAATTAACCGTAGGCCACTAGTTAGTCAAGGTTACAACTAACCAGAGTACTGAATAGTAACTCCATGCCCAGGTGTATGAATCTAAATCTAAATCTAAAATCTAGGTGATTGCATCCATATTAAAGAAATTGGCTCTACTAAGACTAATATTTCTTCTTACTCAGTTTAATACCCTTAAAATTGATTCTCACATAAGCTCTTCAGAATCCTACTAATATAAATTAGAGTGGGCTTAGCCTTTCAGTGTATAGGCTATCTCTTTATAGAATAAATCTTGAATATTAATGTTTAAGATTATGTTGGAATCTAATTCATTTTGTACTTATAGGCAATAAGATGTGGTGGTGAAGGGAGGAGAGTCTGGAGGAAAATCGATATCCAATTTTGATAAAAAAGTTTTTGAAAATATTTTTTATAGCACATGGAGGGCTGTTTCCCTCAGATGTGGTGGGGTGGGGCTGTCTCCCCTGAAAGGTATTCAGAGGAATTTCAGGATTCAAAATTTTCAGTCTCATTCACAAGCACCCAAATTACCTTCTCCAATGACACAAAGTTCCAATCTCTTTTTTTTTTGTTTTATGTAAATGGATAGATAATGGTATAAGAGACGTGCTTCAGAATAACACTGATTTTGTTTTTCAATTACAGCTGACAGTCAATATTACTTTATATTAGTTTCAGCATATAGCATAGTGGTTAGACATTTATATAATTTCTGAAGTGATACTCCAATTAGTCTAGTATCCACCTGCAGGCTTGTTGAAATAGATAATAATATAGATATGTTATTATTCAATAATATAGCAGATTGAAAGGGGATTTGCAAGTAAGAAACTGAAACAATGAATGAAGAATTGTCATCAAGAATTTTGTGGTGAAGGGCAATGATATCATATTCTATTTATTTTAAAGTAGAAGAGATTTGAACACACATTTACTTCAAGAGAAACTTGCTAATATAAAAAAGGAAAAGTTAAAGATGTAGGAAAAAGAAAGTCTAAGAGAGGAGATGGAATAGAAGTTTAAGCACAGATGGTAGAATTAACATCCAAGAAAGGCAGGGACAGAGCAGAGACATCTAAGTTGGCTTCAAGTAGAAATAAGATTAAAACTGTTAGGTCAGTATGTCCAAGGAGCTCATAAGAGAGAACCTCAATGTTTCTCTGAAAAGAGAAAATTAGTCTGTATAAAGTAAGACAAGGTAATTTATTAGATATTGTATAAAACAGTGGTAAATGTCAATCTACATGAATTTTCGAAATCTAATAGTCACATGTAGCTTAACGACTAGGGTACATTCTGAGAAATGTGTTGTTAGGTGATTTTGTTGTTGTGCAAACACCATAGAGTGCACTTACACAAACCTGGATGGTGTAGCCTACTGCCCCTAGACTGTCAACCTATACAGCATGTTACTGTGGCGAATTCTGTAGGCAACTGTAATGCATTGTGCTGTAACATAATGATGGATACCACATCACCAGGTGTAATGCAGGAGCTCTAGGCCAAGAACCTGCACCTAGGCCTTAGATATTCCAAAAAAAAAAAAACACCAGGTGGACCAGGAGAGTGAGATATGCCATTTATTACTCACAGTATGAGGCTTCAGCACTTGGTCGGTTGAAGCTGCAGGAAAAGGCAGCCAGCCAAAAGCAGGCATTGTTTCATATGAGAGCAGAGGGGAGGGACATTACCTCATCTTGGGGAATAAGAGTCTTCCTCCGTAGAGGAGAGCCGAACATCCTGCTTAGCTAGTGTTGGGGAGGACTGGACCAACCATGTCCTCGAGTGGGGAAATAATGTCCATGGGAATGGCCGAAGGGGCAGATGGTGCCCATAGGAGCAACAGGAAGTGTCCCTGGGGGCAAGCACAGCCCGGAGAATGCTTTGTTCATTGTCCTCCTTGAGACTGCTGACCCTCAAGCAGTCCTCTGCCTCCCGTGTCCTTGGAGGGGCTATGTTTGAATTAACCCTACACTGGGAGATAGAAAATTTTCAGCTCCATTATAATCTTATGGAACCACCATTTTATGTGCAGTCCGTAGTTGACCAAAACATCATTATGCAGTCGTGATTGTATTTATCCCAACTACCTACATTTCACCTAGACAACAAATAATGAAGCAAAATTGACTATTATCAAGTCTTTTCTATGTGTACTTATTATATGAAAGCATAAAAATAGTAGCAACTTTAGCATCTAAAGTCGTTATATTTTGCATCTTATTTTTAAAATGCTATGATTAGTCTGACTCCAATAAGAGCATCTAATTAAGTTTACATCATAAAAATGTTGATATTGCAAAGGCAATAAAATGTATGGAAAATATTAATGTCAATGATCACTTTGCCTGCATTTTCCTGTAATTATAAATCAGTTTAATTGCTGAATAAACACAAATAATCTATACCTCAATCTTAAAAAGACACTTTAACTTTACAAGATAGATTTGTAAGTAGTTTAAATGACATAAAAACAAGGCTTTTATTCACTATTCTTTTCCACAAATATTTCAGGTGCTGTATTTGCCAAATAGACATAGAAATAATGTGTTTTTATTTTAATTTCTCATCTAACAGATATTTTTTGTTTGTTTGAAAGCCAGATGTTAAGAATATGTTTTTCTATAATTGTTCAAAATCTTACTTTTTAAAAAAAATTTATGTTAATC